GCACCAGCACCACCAGCATTGCCTGCAGGAGCAGCAGTGAATGGCCCAGCGGCAGCTAAATCTTCAGCTAAAGCACCACCAGCAGCAGCACCCAAAGCGGCAGCAACCGATGCAAAAGCAAAGGCTCCATCGAAACCAAAAGCACCACGGCCGCCACTGCCACAGCCACCAGCACCAGCCAAAGAGGCTAAGGCTAAAAAGGCCTCAGACCCGGAAGCCTATGGAGTAGAGTTCTTTTGTAGATCCCGGGATCAGTTGCTCGGAGGAACTAATTGATGAACAAAAGTTCTTAAAATCTCACCTCATCACTGTTTGTGTTTGTTTGTAGTACCAATACCCACGCCAATACTTGTGGTGACCACCTCAAGCCACACAAGGTGGGCCAAGCTTAGCAAAGCTGAGTTGCACAAAGCTGTGGAAAGAGCACACAAGCATGTAATTTTCAGTGACTTTGTTGACTTCTTCTTGAATGTCATGGGTGACGACGTGAACGGATGGAAATTCGGTGAGCCAGAGAACGTCCTTGACGATCTTGAGCTTTGGGATCTTCTTGAAAGAACAGTCAGATGCGTATGGCCCCGGGATAGACCTCAAAGAAGATCAACCTTTGTTCACAACAGAGTGCCTTGGCTTAGGCTTAGGCAAAGAGTTCAGTTCCACGTAGTGTTTGAAGTTAGCCTGATGAGGGCCCGGACGGTTGGTTGATTGTAGTCGGTGTCGGTCTGTAGTAGTCTGAGTCAATTTTTTTTTGCGTGTATCATTCTTGATACTATATACTATATACATCTATGTAAGAATTGTCCACTGCCCTTGAGAACCTGTAGTAGGTGATTCCCCCGTGCCCACTCCTTTGGGTGCAGCTTGGAAAGTTGGGTTTCCATTTCATGACTTTCATGAACTGTGGCATCACGAGTCTTCCTAATGACAAGGTTTGGGCCAGGTTGGGGATCTAATTCATTGCAGTTAAAAAGAAGAAGTTGAAGATAGAAGCACTGTCACTGAAGCCAGTGAGTCTTTGCGCTTTTGGTGTGCGCAAAGAATGCGGCAACACAGAAATCTGTGTCACACCGCCCAGAGCTTATGTGTGCAGAAAGGAAAAACACACAAAACGTGGACCGAGCCGAGCCTGAGTTGTATTGGTGGGAAAGCGATAAACATATTATCTTTAATATACATATGCACCCCTTGCAACTTCTGCTTGGCAGCGCACTGCCAATTAAAAGCTTCGACTCATCAAGACTTAATCGAAAGTATCATTTCCAGCCATGACAAAATCCAGCCTTTTAAAACCACCTTGGCTCAAATACACCCCAAACCGTAGATTGAAATAGGCTGGTGAGAATCAATACTTCAATGTCCTTCGGGTTTTAACTGAACAAACCTGTAATAAAAAGGTGTAGGTGTTACTTAGACAAACCTTAGAACTTGCGGCTAGCCAAACATTGGTTGAGATGGCTTGACTTGCCTTTTCAGATCGCAGCTCCCGCCGTCCGTAGATGGGTTAGAATAGTTAGATGTTGTAGGCTGGGTGGGTTTAGAGGTTAGAGGTGTGGTTGGTTCGTAGAGGTTGCCGGCCGTGGATCGAACCCTTCCCCTTCTTCCACACCGTGTGCCCGATGGAACATACCCTGACAGAAGTCGCCCAAGCGACGCATGAGATTGAATGTCTCTCAGGTTTTGCGCGGGGCCTACAGTGGCCTTTCGTTCAACCTTGTCCTTGCTGAACACACATGACTGAGTAGATCCCTTGGCTTCCTTTCCCAGCCACCGGCTGGTTCACCTAGCTCCCTTGTCTTTCTTGCAGCTACATGTCTTGTTTGTTCACGCACGTGTCTATCTAACGCCGAGTGTGCGCTGTATTTTTCAAAACTCTTTTGCTAAGGGTCAGACACTTGGAAACATTTCAGCCTTCACTACGGAGCTTGCGTGGCTTCATGACTCAGGACTAAGGAATGTTTGTCGGCCCAATGGAGCCACATGTACCAAATGATCATATTTCAGCAATTTAGCCACGCAAGAGAAATGCTGATGCAGAACTGTGGGGTTAATCCCAACACACATGGCAGATGGCAGGTGGGCTGGACCCACCTGCAGATGTGTCAAATGCAGGTGTGGCAACCTCGCAGCCCCATGCGCATGCTCCTGTTGTGTCCGAAAATAGACATGTTTTGGGTGGCCCAGCCCTTCAACCACGCAGTGTAAGTTTGGTCGTCGGCGCACCTTGGGCAATGTGGAAATGAAAAAGTACATGTACAGGGAGAGAGAGAGAGAGATATATATATATATATTTAATGCATATATTTATATATATATATTATTCATATATACCCAGAGAGAGAGAGAGAGACTAAGAGTGATAAATTGGTTGTTGACGCCGCTAATACTACTATGATATCATTCAATGTTACTGTTGTTGTTATTACTATGTTGCTGTCCGCAACCGGTCACACCAGGAAAAGCCACCATGAGAGCTCCAACCACCAGCGCAGGAACTTCATTGGTGTTTGTCCTTACATGAAAGCATCATTTTAGATTTAATACATATATGTGTCTTGTACTATAGACAGGGCTCCTTCATATTGCGGAACTTGGTGCAAAACAAAAGAGCAAAAAAACGGTTCTTCAACTAAGCTTTGCGAGGCAAAGGCTGCGGTTATGTGGAGCTCTCTTTGGGCGCCTATGCGCCAGGCGACAACCGAGCCCAACAGGGACTACAAAGCAGGTCAAAAGTAACTGGTAGTGAAACAGGCTCAGCTTTGGTGTATCCTAGAATGGGTTGAAGGGAAAATCTGCAGGAATCCCATATTTTTGGGGCGTGAAAACCGTGGTTCCTGTAGATTCCCCCTTCAAACCCATTCATTGAGTGTACACTTCAATAATCTGGAGTGTCGCTCATGTTTCAAGTTGTTTTGTTCATATCACGGCTCATGACCTTGTTCGGCAGGCGACATCGTCCCACAAAGCCTGTCAGGACACCGACACGTGTCGCATGTGGCCTTGCATGTACAGTTTGGGTAACCTCGCACCTTTGGGCGCACGACAGAAAATCTAGAATACAGATGTTCAACGATGGTTGAATTGTGCCACATATTGTAGTATTGCAATGTTTCACGAGAGGAATTCCATCGTCCTTGTTTGTTTGATTTGGTGATGTTTGTTATTTACCTCCAAGTTTGGTTCAGATATGTGATTTACCGGCTTGCTAGACCAAACAGATGTTTGCAGGAGGTGCAGACGTTGATGAGGCAGCCGAGGTCCAGTCCATCAAGACGCGGGTGGTGAAGTTCCTGGGTTAACATGAATTCAATTTCCCCATACATGACATATACAGTGCATGCAACACTTCGATGGATAAGGTTGTTGACACTTAACACATGTGAACACACCGGCAGGTTATATAGGTCGTTCCTTGTTCTGTTTTTTTCCATGTGTACGATTGCAAACTATTGCATGAATTTGTGAGTCGTGTGATCTTCAACGAATCGAAGACTTCCTTTCCGTTGATCCGATCCAATCCCGGCCAAGGCTTCCCACCAAAGATGCTGCCAAGTCCCTCTTCCAACTCACGGTTTGCATCTACCAGGCGAGGCCTTGTAGTCTGGGATTTTAGGGGGAGAGAACAAGGCCCCCGTAGAATCTTTGTACAGCTGAAGAAGGAAGCGACGGATTGAATCAGATACCTTACCTCACTTAGTCACTAGGCTCTCATTGTTTGGATCAAGTCAAGTCAAGTGAGGTCTTTGTTCTACGACTGCATGCGATGACTGAGTGCGAGGTTCGTACATATTAAGTGTCCGACTGCAAGAGCAAAGACACGGTGACCACACCCGCCAGAGGCCGAGGAACTGGCGATGATCAAGGGCCACTGTGCTTGCAAATACCTTCCAAGAGCTTTGAGACAAGAGCGGCTATATACAACTACCGCGTCCAGATCGATGTGTAGAATGTAGAAGGTTAAAGCTTAAATATTGAATGCTGAATGCAGGTGTTTAGGGAGCCAGGGGGGTTCAATGTTCAATTTATTTGGGGTCACTGGAAGTGATGCGCCTCATGTCTCCCACCCAACTGTGTGGAAGGAGGGGCCTATGATTGGCTTCAAGCTACGTACGTGATTAGGTGAATCAGCAAACATATTGAAATGCCGACTTTAGACATCCGCAGCCCGGTTTGTCTGACCTGAGCTTGGACAGACAAGTTGTTCATGGCAACTCTTCCGCTCAGTGCTTTGGCGGAGCTCCCCAGGTGTCCTGTCGACCAATTGCAATCCCTTCGTGCAAGTGGATTTCAACGGGACATCGCAGCGAACACAAACGCAGAGGAGTCTCGGAAGGCATAGACGTTGACTCGACGGCTCTGACTTGAGCTAGAACGTTTTAAATGAAACTCAGCTCATGTGTGAAGTTTCTTTGAAATGACGAACACCTCTTTAGGTTGGAGGCCATTGCTAGTGGGTAGGACCCGGGTAGGATGCCCCAAAACAGTCCTAGGCCTTTTCGGGGTCGGAAGCGGTGTCAACAACTCATGCACGACAGCAGTGGCCGCCAAATGCATCCGACCCTTGCACGACCTCGGGCAGACTTTGTCAGAGATCGTGCATCCCTTACGGTTGGTCACATTTGTCGTGTCTCAGCCACTGATCCCACTGGGTAGATCCACCTGACATGGCTAAGGAACAACAACCCCACCTGGAATGAAGAGGTGCAAGTGCCCTTCTCAATGCCTGCCTGGGCTTTGACCTCAGCTGGCCATGAGCATCATTGGGCAACACCAAAGAAGGGACACCAGGGTTGCGGCTCCATGAAGGCTTGAGCGACTCATGCAAGAGAAACAACTTGGCCTCACGACCCAAGACTTTGGGCTTTGTGACCAGTGTTCAACATTAAACAAAGTGCCAAGATGTTTTCAGTCTCACAATCAGGGGCAAGCAGCCACAGAATGAACTCCCCAATCTCTAAAATTAAAAATAGGCCCAATAGGCGATTGATTTAGGCGATTTAGGCTTATTTTGTCAGCTTGTTTGGCCTTTAGCGGTCCCCTTGTCATACAACGCGCCTGGAAACCCAAACAACCAGCAACAAATGATTGTTCCAATATGGCAATTGAGATCCTCTACATAGTAAAGTGGCTGTTTTGGGGAAACATAACATCCATTTGTTTGACTGGGTTTCCATGTGATTTTGTTCGGGCACTTTGTTTTGGGGGGGCTCACTCGCACCATCTCGCATCTCTTCTCTGAGGACAATAGTGTCAATGTGACGGTGATGCATGACGGTGGCCTCACCGGCAGCAAGGTGGAACTCGGGGCACCTCGGTGGAGCTTGCACCGAGCTTACAGAAGGAGTGATATAAATAATAAAGGGAGATTCGCTATGGTTTGCGCAGACCAGACAGAGCAACTCCGCCAGCACAGTAGGATGGATTGAGGTTGGATCTGATACGTAGGACCCTGAAGGAATGAACTTGAACTTAAAGCAACTCCACACATAATTGCGGCAGCTGTAGCAACTGGATGCTGTTGGGGCATTGCTGGGGAATGCTTGCGGCAGCTTTAGCAACTGGATGCTATTGGCTCGTTGCTGGGGAATGCTTTTGTCACACTTTAATCAGGTAGACATTTTGGTCTTGCGCGGTGATGGATCAAGGATGTGACGCTTGACATTGATGATTTGGCCAATGAAGCGCTTGAGCCCACCTGGTACTACTTTTACAAGGCAATCATCGCACTGGTCCCGGACTGGAAGAGCAACACGTTGTTTGGAGAGCCAATTCTTTTCTTCGAAGCTTTCAGAAGAACCTTTTGATGATGATCGAGCTTGGATTGCAGCACAGCCAATAGCAAGGGCGTCCAATACTTCTGAAATCTCTTGAATCAATGGTTGGTTGGTGTCCTGATTTGTCCTGCCTCTTGCCTAGTGCAGTGTAAGTTGGGCCCAAATGAAACTATATATGTATATAAATGTTATATATAGTTATGTGGGTATCCATGGGGTGCCTCCAGGCGCCCGATGGCAAAAAGGATGAGGAAAAGTCAGCAGCTTGGCAGGTGTGGAGTACAGTTTCTTTTACGCATCATTCAAGATATAAAAGGAAAGGACCCAAAAAGATCCAAAGCTTCTTTCGGGCAGATGGACAAAAACCAAGAATTGGACTGGCTCAGAGAGCGAGACATTGTTTCCAGTCAAAGAGCGATGCACGGTTGGTTAAGAGTGTTTCGGATTGGACAGGATAGTGTCCACCGGCTGTATTGACAAGGCCAACATATGCCAAATAAAGTCCAATCTCAGGAATTGCGGGACGCTTGCTCCTCTCTGCGAGCATGGAACGAACTGAACCTTGCTTCAAAGAGCTGTTTTGCTTGATTCGATTCCTTTGAAGCACTTTTTTGTGCATTATTTTGCACCATTCAATTCAAGTTATCTTCAGGAGAAGCCTATTCTCACCATCAATCCTGGATCCATGGCAAATCCGCCCAAAGTGACGGCGGGCGTCGTCCCTTGATCGCAAGATCCCTGGGTTCATTTCACCCCTCTCCCTTCTTCCTGGGTCATTCGGCGTGGAGATCGAGCGTGTGGAGGCCTGGATCGATCTCTACATGGTTTGCTTTGACAGCACCGAACAACCTGAGTGGCTGCATGTCCAGATTGCGACTGGATCAATATTGGGGTTTGTCCGGACAGGGGGACAGGGTCCGGTCGAGATTGTGGTCAAGACGATCTCCAGAAGGGCCGCATGGGAGATCATTTGCGTAACTTGCGCAACAGAGGCGCGCGCGCTTATTACTTGGCAGCACTGGAATTTGATCTTTGAGATTTCCATATCGGCCAACACATGCACAACTGCAGAATCACATCAATATACAGTACCTTAATTAATATTTTAGAATGATTGTTATGTTGTATGTGCATAAATCATCATACAAATACGTAGAACCATGCATTTGTACAGATCTACGTGTTCATTGGAGGGTGTTTGACCCTATTGTATCCGTGAGAGCAGCTGCGCTATATAGACGAGGTGTGTAGTTTCTGTGTGAACAGAATCAAGCACCTCCATTGTAGGATAGTGAATGCCTTGCGGAAGGGGTTCCAAATTAGATGTGATGCGCCAATGTCACCCACGCCAATGTCACCCATGGGTACGTGGGGACATTGACTCACGCTGGGACCGAAGGAAGCTTTTGATTGTATGCCCGTCAATGCCGATTTGTTTGCTTGAGGAGTTGCCTCGAATCATCGATGCAGAGCTCATCTCAACGCAACCAGAGCCTGAAGGGCATGGCTTTGTTTGGAAAGGAAAGGAGAACATCCGCATGGACCACATGGTGCCTTGGTCATGGGCGGGCATTGCTGGGGTTCTTTTGGAGTTATGCCAGCTATGCCTGTCACATGTCCAAGAGTTGAGCCTATCACATCTCAGCTCACCTTTGTCCATTCATTGCTTTGAATGAGCTGAGAAGTCTAGTGCTTTTCCATGGCTCTTCTTTTCCATGGCTCACCTTTGTCCTGGCTCTCCATGGCTTTTCTATGGCCGAACTCGGCGGCCGAGTTGAGTCGAGCTGAGGTGCCCACCTTCTCCTTACCGGCTCCTGAGAACTGTGGTGAGTTCATCATCAGCGCAACTTGGATCGGGGATCATCATGGAGTCGGGGGATGGCAGGACTTCCCTTGTGCCATTCGCACGGAAAGGTTTACCCCACTGATGCCACCGGAACTGGTGTGATGCTTGGGAAGCTTAGATCCACAAAAGACACTTTGCCAATGAGATGTGAATCTGAATGCGCACCAAATCTTACTTGGCCAGCAATCGCCCAGACATACTTGTTAAATCTTTTTGACGCAACATGCTCAGTGAAAGCTGTTCGAACTACTCATACGTCAGCAGGGTTTTGCTGCAAGGGTTTCTAGAATAATAGGACCATACTGTAGGACCCTGTAGGAGTTTCTCATAAGTTTTCTTCGCTGAGGTCTTCGCCAAATTCAAGAAGACAGGGTTGCTGGGCGGGAAGAAGCCCGAGCGGCACATGTCACTGGGATGCACGATGATCCACAGGAAAGCATCGACCTCATCAGACCCAACAGATTCTAACAGATCCCAACGGCAAATGTTCTAAGGAGAGCAAGACAAGAACATCCGTTTGCAATCTGGTGTGCTGTTGGTGACGTTTTCTTCAGCCAGGATCGAAAACTGATGTCACCTCATGTTCTTCGCTCCCCCAGACAGAAGAGAAGGGAAAGGGACGTTTGAATGGGTTTGCTGCAGCTGCTTCAAGCCACTCGTTGCACTGCGGTCATCCATGTCCGAGCCGTGGGCGCTGTGGACTACCAAGGTATGCAAGGGTGCCTGCAAGTGAAGTCTACAAATGGGATCAGACGCCGAAATGGACGCCTGGATGGCAGGGACATGTTCAACTGTGCTTAGCTTGTATAGGTGCACTCGCATTATCTCACATTCCTCAGGTGAAGTGCACGGCTGGCATTTAAATTCATCATGACTTACCTTGGATCCTCATGGTAGTCATCACATGTATGAAGCCGGGGTTCTACATAATGTTGCACGCAGTGCCAGGGCACATCATCAAACGGTACCCTCCTAGATGGCGGTCATCACTCCTATGAATAACAGGTATTTTTGTTGGACCGAGCACGGGCCTCATGCTGCTGGACCCACAGTTTCAATGAGTTCATTCCCGGTGTGGTCATAGCGTTCTTGGGAACCACTCGCACATGTGTTTTTGCTTTGCTAAAGCAGTGCCCCAACTAGTGCCTCCAGCTGGCGGTTCAATGCCACTGGGCTGATGAGCCGCATTCAAGGCGCGGGGGGGTCCCGGGCACTCACCATCCGGGCTTGACCATGCAGCACTCCCATACCAGCTTTTGTCCACTTCCCCAGGTCGCAAGTCTGTTTTAGATGGTTTTAATGTAATGCTGGTGGTGTCGTTTTTGGTTGGCTTGTCGCGGTCGAAAGCCAACACAAAAAGAACAAAGAAGAGGACAGAGAGAGCGGGAGAGATGTAGGATGATGTCGGTTTATGCTTGTTGATGTGCATGTTTGGACCATGAGTAGACATGTCGGACAGTGTGCCATTCTGTGACACAATCTCCACGCCCTCAGGAGAGACATGCGGATGGTGGTGCACGGCGGTGATGATGTAGGCGCTCCATAGCGGTTTGTTTTTTGCCTTAACTGGTGTCTTCAGTGCCACGTCTGGAGTCCAGATGCCAAAGGTCATTGTCCAAATGAGACATTTCAAATTTCTCCTGAATGATGTCACGGACAAAGGACCATCATTTGATGTTCATGCAGGTCGTTGTTGTTTTTTTTTTTCTGGCCATCATGGGATGTTTTTGGTTGGCCATCAAGGGCCCGGAAGTTGTGTATGTTGTTTTTTCGTGCAAGGCAGCGCTGGATTTTTGCTGATGTGTCTTGTTTGGAATGAGTTCAGTAGCAAGGACATGCAAGGACTCTAAGAATGCGGAGAATGAAGGCAGTCGCATTAGCTCACAGCGGTGTGACAGTGAATGCATAAGTGGTGTAGAACATGTAGATCATCTCGGATGGCTGTCGTGCTTTTCATGGTAGCCTGGCTTGATGTTGTAACACTTCGCTCGCTGGACCCTAAGGACACTTTGCCTGGGACCGGATTCTCCGAAACCACCAGCGAGGCCCGTCGGAAGTTTGTTTTTCTGGTAGTTGGGGGCCGGTGGATTTCTTGTGTTTCTGAGACCAATGTTGTTTTGAGGCTTTGAGTGTGATTTTTGATTTTATCATGGGCGGCGTCGGCGTGCGGGAGAGAAAAGATATTATATATACTGTTGCACTAGGGAACCCCATTTGTGTCAAACAATGCCTTCTTCATTTGCCCCATGTTACATGTTGTTTGAACATCGCATTTGTTTGGCAGCCCCAGAAGCCAGTGGGCACCCTTTTGTAGAGCCTGCACCTGTTGAAGCTGTGTGTTTGCTGCTCGTGATTGGTGGCAGAAAGGGTCCTTGCTATAGTTTGGAGCGGAGCGATTGACAGCCATAGAATTTGTCTCTCACCGCTAGGGCATACGTCAGACAACATCGGAATTCGAAGATTGCAAGAGACACATAGCGGAAGACAGAGACAAACGAAACAACGAGATATATAGAAACTTAGAACAACTTGGACACATACTATTAGGACAAATAGCACCATGTCATGATATACATTGATTCATGGATTCAGAGATGGAGACAAGTCAAGTTGCTTGAAGGACAGGAGTTGGTTTGAGGGAATTGTCTTGAAATGTTGACCTGTTGTGACTGTTTGCAGAACCATGTGCAGGGCAAAGCCTTTGAAGATCAAGTGGAAGGACTACTGTTTCCGCGCCAAGATTTACCAAGTACTCAACTTAATGGACACAGCTTGGCACAGCAGAGAGTCTAAGCATGTGTTCTATTCGATTTTGGGTATGCCTGTGTTGTGATGAAGTTTGATGGCGTTAGCGTTGCACTTTCGAGGCTGTCAACCTTCCAGCCAAGGACACGGCTGACTTGTTTCCAAGTCCAAGTTGTATCGAGTATACATCGGACAACAACAAACGGTCCATGTTTGCTGACCAGTGAGTCAATGTCGAAGCGTTTGCTACATTTTGCTACTGTACGTTCCTTTGCGTGTTCATGTGGCCTGTTCATGCCATAGTGCTTGTAAGCATGCTCTGATTGATGTGTTTTGTGTAATTATTATGCTACTGCCTACACCTTTGCCAATGTGTATCAAATGGACCCTTACACAAGGTGCAGCAGCTTGTCAGCATTGTCAATCATGCAACTGTTATGGATGTTTCGCCACAGGATGAAGAGGGCAGCTCAGATCCACTGGTCGCCATCAACTTCGGCCCGGCCATCCTTCGGACTTTTGGCACGCCGTCGGCGGTGGCCGTTTTGCCCACCAAAAGCTCCCAAACTCGTAGGGCCTAGGGCCTAGGGCAGCTGCAGCCTGTAGCAAAAGCTCCCGGCATCTCCCGGCTTGTGGCATACTCAAGCTAATTCCAGGAGAGTGGCACATTGATCGGAACCGGGCGCTCCAGCCATCCGGCTCTTTCAGAAAGTGTGAGCCAAGTCATGAAAAGTCTAGCACAGATCGGCGTGTAAGTAGATAGTGCATGGCAAGGTATGGCATGCATGGCGGCCCTCTAGGAGTTGCACTTTGTCCCATCAACTGTCCAGTGGCAGTCATTGACACACCACGCCATGGCTGAGCCAATGCAGCTGGTGCGGGTTGTGCAGCCTTCGGGCGAGCTGGCTTGGGAGGGCGAGGTGTCCAAAAAGAGCACCATCAAAGAGCTGATTCGTACCATCAGCAAGGACAGTTGTGTGGGCAGCATCAACAGGCATGTAGAACTGTAGAACTGTTAGCTTTGCTACTGTGGCTTCCATGAAATTACTTTGTCCAAAGCCTTCTTTGATATTTCAGGACACCTCCTTCACGCGAACTCTTTGCTCTTTCTTTCAATCCGGTCTTTCTTTGAAGTGCTAGCCTATTCCTTTACTGAGGTGTCCTCTCTTGGCAGAATTAGCCCCGGCTACTACTAGAAAGCCTATTCTTCCACAGAAGCCTCCGTGAAGCCATGAACAATTAGTCGTGTCTTCCAGAGTCTCATCTTTGATCCACACATATCACATATCCACACCTTATCCTTAACATCCCTTGCAAAGACCTCTTTTCTTCAAACATTGCATCCTTCCTGAATGTGCCTTTGCTTTGTGAGGGTCTCACCCTGTATAAGCGTGGCATCTCCCGTTTTAAATGTTCCGCCCTCTAAGAACATATGTTAATTTTGTTTCGTCAATGTTGCCTTCCCCTCCACAAACGTTTGTTCCCGTGCCAAATTGACATCGTCTGATATGGAGGACACCTGTCTCAACCTTTCTGGTTATTTGAATCGACATGTTGATACCGTAGAAACATTGATTTAGTTGAGTTCCTGTCAAAGGGATTTGATCCTGCATGGTTGACTTTGGGTGCCTAGAAAGTTTCCTCGGACATTTTTCAGTCAAACAAAGCGTCACGTGTTGACAAATGGTTTGAATTCCTGAATCCAAGCAAGATTAAACAAGCAAACTCCTTGACGTGTTCGTTCATCGTTCATGTGCATCAAACGTTTGTAATGTCGACGTCGGATTAATCAACGGGCCCGCCCCCTAGAAGGTCAACAAGGTCTGAGATTGGAGGTTTTGGAGATCACATCCCCCCTAATAGTGGGGATGACCTGATGATGAAAGGGAATTAGTATTTGGAAGAATTGAGATGAAAGGGAATTAGTATTTGGAAGAATTGGAATGAAAGGGAATTAGTATTTGGAAGAATTGAAATGAAAGGGAATTAGTATTTGGAAGGGTTAGACTAATATTATAGTAAGTAATTATACATTAAACACACATATATTTAAGTAAGTATATTTTTCCTGGTGGGATAGGGGGTAGACTAATAGGGGGGGGTTCAGCCAAGCAAAATGTTTATTAGAGGGTGGTGACTGTGGAAATTCATAGTTCAAATTATATAGTTTATTATTGGGGCCTGAACGCTGGGTAGACTAATAGGGGGGGTTGCCTAATCCTATGTTGACATTATGGGTCTATACGTGTTGTTTAGCAACCTCGCTTCTTATCCCCAGAAAAGTCAATCTTTACAGACTGATGCAATTGTTTTTGCTCATGCCTTCTTTACCCAGTGTCAACTGGACAATGTTGATCATTTGTGTGAGCGTGAGGCAAGTTGATATACCAAGACAAGGAGCCAACTATTTACCAATGATGCAACAAGATGAGCAATATTGCTAGGCAAGGGTAGGTTCTTTTGTTCTTGATTATTATTGCTTACTGTTTCCTTTGTTTGACCCTTCCAAATCTTCAAGAAGTAGAATATTTTAGTATAAACAGGAAGAGGGAAGCTAAAAGGTAACAAGCAGTTGTTGCGCAAGAGGCAAGCAGCAAGCCTATTGAGACTTGGAGAGCTTGTTGAGAAATGAGGAAGGGCAAGCCAAATTCAGGAGATAGGAGAGCTCCAAGGGAACAACGTAGTTCAACTTACTTGGTTCTGCTGAGGCGCTAGGACTGCCAGGCAGGTGCTCGTATCACTCAGTACCCAGTACCTTGTTACTCCATTTATAGGTCAATGTAATATATGTCGTTTCCGCCTGAAGACAAAAAATCCATACCTCAAAAGGTTCAGAAGACACTGCAAAGGCAAATGCCATTTCAAAGGCCGAAAGATTGGTACTGGGTGGGCAGGGGGTACCACATAATTTGAAGTATATTTACAATAATTTGATTTGTTATGCACATGCATGTCAATGTCCCACATTACAATTTCTCCAGGCTGGATTTGGACCTCCCCACCTTTTGGCATTGCTTCTGGGGAGCGACATTATGCAGCTCACTCTGCACTATGATAGTCTTCTGAGCAATGTTTTGGTGCACATTGGGCCCCCTTTTGTTGTTGGAACAATTCGGGAATGTAATGAAGCAGGCGCGGGCACACACGGGATTGAATCGAATCGAGTTGTATGACTGTTTGGCATTGATGCAATGCTGTCCATCAAATTACATGTTCATGTAAGCTGTTAAGGAACCTAACTGGACACAAACCAGGCAACACACCAGCCGAGTATTTGGAGCTAGTTTTACTGGTGACTGTGGGTTTCAGATTGGCAAGGCAGTTCAAGACAATGACAAGCTTAGAAGAGCTTCAGCTCAAAGAGGAGGACAGACAAGATGCTTTCCTTGGCTTGTCCAAATGTTAGTTTGGATCAATTTGACTGAGATAGACAGGGAAACGGTAGACTTTGAGTCATGATTGAGACCCCAAGGGACAGAGAAAGACATACAAAAAAGCACATGATGCAAATTCTGGATTCCAAGATGGGGCATTGTGGCATTGCGTTTGCTTTGAGTTAAACTCGCCCGGATTCCACGAGGGTGTGACATTGCCTGGCGAGTTGCATGTTGCTCAGCCGTACACCTCAGTGCAAACCGATCACATCAGACTGCGGCAGGATTGCTTCCAGTTGGTGAGACGCGCTCGGAGTGAGTTTTCAAACTTCGAGACCAACACTGCTTCGGAAGAAGGACCAGAGAAACTACCAGACTTCCTTGAGACTTGGCTAAAGCTGGTTGATCGTCAGAATCATCATATAATATCATATATATCTACATGTAACGAACTGGATTTGGACCAAAACAACGTATATACATAGGTCATGGGACACCTTTCCAATATGCAACTATATGCAGGACACTTGTTTGCTTTCTCCCATGGTCACGAAAGGTAGCCCTTTAGGGGATACCTTGAGTTTGTCTTGCGAAGCAAGTGTCGGCTCGTCCGGGTCGAATAATTGATCGCTCAATTCAGACCCCCCCCCCCCTGGAATTGATTTTTCAATAGGCGCCCCCCGCCCCCTCTAAATTCAATTCTCTCCTGGAGAACGTCTTCGTGAGCCTCTCATGATTTCAGGATAGTTGAAACCCTCTTGAACATTCAGAAAGAGTGCATATGAAATTCTAATCACGAAAGGTGTTCCCCTAGGGGATACATACCTAGAGTTTGTTTTGCGAAGCACGTCAATTCTCTCCTGGGGGACGTCTTCGTGAGCCTCTTATGGTTTCAGGATAGTTCAAATCCTATGATGCTCCGATTCAATGCTCACCGATGATCTGAGCCATGGGGCAAGTTTGTTTTCCTAAGAATTTTTTTTGAACATTTCGAGAGCATATGTTTGAACATGTAGAGTGCATATGAACATATATTTACGAAAGGTCGCCTCCGAGGGGATAAATCACCACGTCGAACATTGCATTATTTTTGTTCCTGCCTCTCGCGTTCTCTTCTCTTCCCGCTGTCCTACCTTTCGTGTCTCCCTCCTCTCAAGTTTCAACATACTTTAACTTGTTGGTGGCCAGTTTAGTTTGTATGTTCACTGATGTTTTAATGGCAGATCAGGTAAAGCAAGTTGATATGCCGTGGAGACAAGCACACAGGTGTTCTGTTGCCCAATTGTTTATTCGACAATGGCACTTGCTTGAACCCATGTCTTCACAGAATACTAGGGGCCGACATACCCTGTATATAGTTACTATATAGTTCCAAATCAGCAAGACACTCATTTTCCAGGGCTTGGGCAGTGGACAGGTGCAGATGTCTACAGGGCTTGCAACATACCGGAAGAATCCATGTTTTGAGGCGTGAAGCAACGTGAGGTATTGCAAGACATTGCAAGACCTTCAAAGATAAGAAAGTAGAATCTGAGAAGCCATTGTGCACCGGCTATCTAAGTGTTATTCTACTGTGCACAATGGTTTTGAGGCTATTCCATTTTCTGAAAGTAGAATTGGCCGAAACTGTCAGGTGAAGTGTGTGATCATGGGTCCTTCCGGCGTGGGCAAGAGCGCACTCGTGGCGCAGTACTGTGACCAGAACTACGTTCCAAGCTATTTGCCCCTCGGGCTCCGTTCGTGTTTAGTAGCGTCCTTGCTCCTAGTAGTAAGGCCAGGAGCCCCTAGTAGCGTCCTTTGTCCTAGTAGCGATGCCAGGAGCCCCTAGTAACTTAGTAGCTTCTTGCTCCTAGTAGCGATGCCAGGAGCCCCTAGCAATTAACTTAGTAGGTTCTTGTTCCTATGCCAGGAGCCCCTAGTAATTAACTTGGTAGGTTCTTGTTCCTAGTAGCGATGCCCTTTCGTCTTACTACGAGTGACATGGAGTAGATAGACTTTGTGTGCATATGCATTTGCCGCTGAGGCCAACTATTGGCGTGGACTTTCGAGTTGGACAGGCCATGTACTGGGACCGTCGGAAAGATGTACCCCAAGCCCAAAGCAACAGTCAGTCAGTCTCGCTTCTCACAACACAAAGCCAGAAGTTATTGTGGCGAGTTGCCCTTGTGCATCCCTTATGACGATGAGATCTCTGACGAGCATTTGATCACGATTCAACAGCTCAGCATGTGCCAGCAGTCTTGGCGATAGAGGCAACATTAATCAACTTGCATATGGCCATCGCCGTCGCTCCAAAAACTATATATAACTTCTACAGAGGCTCGCAGGTTTTTATATAGCCAGTCATGTTTTCCGTTGCCTGGGAGGTATTGGCGCACATCTTTAAGCCATGCATTTGCTCGGCAATTCGACATTCGTGAGGTGAAAACGAATGAGTTCAAGCTCAAACTCCAACTCTGGGACACAGCAGGGCAAGAGCGCTTTCGTACAATCACTTTGAGCTACCTCAGAGGCTTGATTCCATTTTCGGAGGGCATCAACACAAGACATCTCACATGGTGCAGGATTTGTTTGAGGCTTGCAATCTTTAAGGCATTTGGATCCATTTGGTGGTATTTGCATTGTTTTGCTGCGTTTTGCTGTTTGCATTGTTTTGTGGTGAACACTGGGGACGTGAAGCTTTTGTGCGTACTATGTGGTGTCCAGACTGAAGATTGCCAAATCTTCGTTTTGCTTGTCGCAAGGCACCAGCAGCATCATCGCAGTTTTCAGTGCCCTTGATATATTTAGTTCTAATTTGCCAGAGATACAGCACTGACACACGTGTATCGCGGAGTGCACAGGCTATCTAAACCTAACTGCTTGTGTTGGTGTGCCTAAGATCTCCGAAGAACGGGATCTGAAAGAGAACTACCAGGGCCTACCAGGGCCTCGTGGCATTCTCTCGAATAGTCTTACAAATCATACTACCTAGCACTGTCGGGGCACGTTCTGAAGACTCTGGAAGGGTGTGGACGGGTGATTCTGAGTTCCAGCGTGTTCGCATGTTCAAGGTTTAGAGCAAAGGGCCTCATTGCACGATGCAGTGAAGATGGTCAACTCGGCCACAAGCCGATGTCTCAGGAGAGATGTTTTTTTTTTGGCCTTTGGATCCTTTGGACATTGCCTGTGTAGTGTAGTCCAGTTCCATCATGTTCCCACGAGCCCCACGAGTCCCGAAAGAACCCAGGTCACTTTGTTAGCGCAGACGCGTTGGTGCCTTCGGTGCAGACCAGAGACATCCAGAGACCCAGTGCCATAGGCTTTCATCATGTCAATGTGCCTCATACATGCACAAACAGAAATATCATATATAAGACTGATATGCTATGATACGCTTTGCCGCATCCTGCACACAAATAATTAGGATCTTAATGTTCACATGCAATTGGTTGATGGATGGCTGTATGCATTGTGCAGACAGCATGGTTTAAATGGTGGGGCCCGTGACATTTGACACAGTGTGTCAGATGCTCCAGGTTTGCCTGATTGGCACACATTCAGATTCCGAGAGTCGCGAGGTCAGTGAAGAGGAGGCGAGGTACGGTCGCGCTTTGATTCAATGCATCATCCAGACTATGAGAACGTTTATGTTGGATTGAATGGTGACAAGGGCATGGCGTCAATTGTATTGAATATCCATAGTGGTATTGTCATCATGCAAACAGGAGTTATACAATGTTATATATATATATATATCATTTGATTCACTAACATGGAAGTGGAAAACCACCTGTTTGTAGTGGAAAATGGTCTTCCCTGGGGCCATTGTCCATTTCCATGTTAGTGAGTGGGAGTGTATATATAAGCGTCCTCGGCATAGGTGCTCAAAGAAGCTGAGTCCTTGCAGTGTTCCTATCATGCCGTCTCCAATCTCACCGGCGAGGGTGTGCAGGAGGCAGAAGCTCAGTCAATCGCCAACCAGATTGTGGCTTTGATAATTTGAAGTGCGAGGGGCTTTTCTTGTTCAATCCAAAAGCTGGAAGCATCGAAGTCAAAGGTAGAAAATCATATTATCCTAGTGGCGTTGAAGCGCACCTTGTGCTGGCACGGGGGTTGCAGGACATGTTTTTGCTGCCCGGAGGCCTTCCACAGTTTGTTGGATCAATACTTGGACAAGATCAACAGCCGGACTTCCGATGACGCCGTGGAGATTTGCAAGACCTGAGGTTTGATCAGTTTGATCATTATGTTTTGCTTGGATAGTGGGGCATATGATGGAAACAGCGAACTGATCAAGCCCGTGCACTGAGCATGCAGGCACAGTGCAGGAGTGTTTAGTTTTCCTTAATACTTTTGACATCCTATGGCTTTAGCCATGTGTGTAAAGGGCGGGTGAACATGTTTCTAGATATATAGGTGGCATGAAGCTAGCAGCCGGATACCAGCCACTACCTGCCAGAACCAGATGGCAAAGCATCGTACTGTAACTATGTGACGGCCATGTGGTGCTGATAGCAACTCATGTCCTGTCCGGGGCGGCACGTGAAGTCATGCGCTCCGTGGATTTGCAGATCGAGCCCCAGCCCATCTATCAGGGCAAAAAGCGAGAAGATCGCAGCGAAGAGTTGTGGTTGTGAAGATTGTTTTCTCGGAGTCCTGCAGCAACCTGCACTGTTCTGACACAATAAATCAACACGTATGATTTTTTACAAATAAAGAAAGCATTTCATAGTTTAATATGGTTGTCAGTCTGAGCCCACTTTGACCCCTCAGTTTCTCCATCTCGGCTAAAGACAACGAAATATTTCAGTATGGACGTTGGCCAGTGTTTCTGAGCTATTGAATATTTTTTGCAGTTGATTCATCACATCAGCCATTCCTCATGTTTGAGCAGAACAGTTTTGGAATGATACCTTCAGCATCCTTCTTGACTTGCGCACTCGGAACGGGGTCCTGGCGGCTGCACACACACACACACACACTGCACACGGAGCAGAATCCTTCCTACAACCTGCCGCGCAAGGATGCATTTCGCCACTTCTGGAACTCATAGACAACATCCTGAGTTGGACAACTGCTTGTAGGCAAATCACCCTGCACTAGGCAATCCTTGTATAATTTCCGCCGCCGTTTGCCAGATCGACAAGTTGCTGCAAAACCCCTGCACTTAGGACTAAGATGGACTGAGCAATTTCAATAGCAAATGCCTGCCTATATCACTGCAGCCACTCCAGCAACTACAAGGTTCATGACCAAGCCCAGAATTGACGCATTAACTTACCAGCTGCAAATGGACTTTGATACTTTGCTCCTCTCAGTGTCCTACCGATCCTACCACTTTACTGTATAGACCTGATCGACCACAGCATGCAGCGAATCCAACAGTGGTACAGCGCTCATGCATCGGGCATGGCTCCAGCTGCCACTGGGGCTGGCTGTGGTGCAGCTCCGTCGCAGAGAAATCAGCTGCGAGGACGTGCAGGCGCTGTGTAGAAGCTGCAGCTAACCCTTAAGCATCTTCAGTTCAGTCAATGGCTTATTTTCCCCCAGAAGAATGAGAATATGGCGTCGTTCGGACCAGAAGAGCTCTTTTCCTTTGGTCCGTGCAACGAAGTGCGAAAGGGTGCCAGAGTGATATATAACTATAACTAACCCTGCCCAGTCAGTGCATAACCTGTGACCATTTTGGGGGATTGGCTTCCCCATGAAACGGGAACAGGGCACAAAAATGTTAACCTTCATTTTGCAGGGAAACTGAGGGAGTCGGCAACTTATAGCTGACCTTGCGTTGCAAGTTTCAAGATCTTGGCTTGCTGCCATCCATTGCCACACTGACTAGCGCAAGGAAAAGGTACTGTAGGTTTACATATGGATGTTTTGGCATGGTTGACCTAAATTTGTCGGTGCGATGCTAGGTCAGACGCATTTCTCTCGATTTGATCGGTCCGGTTCTTCATGAGGCCGACCTTCGGTATGTGCGCGATGGCAGCTGCGGTCGGAGAGGGGTTTTGAGTGGTTCCTCGCTTCAAGGAATTTGGTTGGAGATCATTATAAATATATGGGCTTGTCTTTTTTTTAGGTGTCCAGTTTATGTAGGACTGGGATGTTCGACTTAGGCGAAGCATACCCTGAAGCATACTCCCGAAGCATACCCTGAAGCATACCCTCTGGAAATGCTACTACTTTAGTCTTCACACTGCGCGAAGCATACCCCCGAAGCATACCTCCGAAGCATACCCCATAGTCAAACATCCCGGCCCGGGAACCTTAAAAAAATACAAACCCATATATATATATATATTATTTGGTTGTATGTTTTACTTTTTTGCATATTGATTTTAAGCATTACGATGGCACAGGGTCGTCATAGTTTCTCACGTTCATACTTGTTTCCAAAGCTCCTTTGGATTACACCATGTTCGACCATGTCGCACATATCAAGAACACATGTCAAATTTGTTCAGAATGTAACAATCATGAACTCTTGAGGCTTCACCGTTAACGTTTACCCTGAATGTCTGAGACTCAATAAGACGCTCGCCTGAATCAACGGTAGCCTGCTTCAAGAAGCTGCAGGAGAATGAGCTATGCCTCTGTGCTGGTGCGGGATGCTAGGCGCGGTCAATTTCTCTCGTGGCAAGACTCACGTGGAGAAACTGATCAGTGTCCTCAGCAGGTTCTTTTGAGCCAAAGATTTGAGCTCAGGCTTAGACCTGCAGACCTCCTGGTTTAACGAGGATGTATTTGCTGGCCCCCCACATGTCAAAGCTGTAACTCAGTGGATTTGCCCAGGCAAGTGCCAGGCATTTGCTTCCAGCAGCAAGGCTTTCAGATCTTGCCGTTCAAGACCCAACTGAAGGATGGGTTGGCATGGATTACAACTAGAGTGCTTGAGTGAAGCATGTGCTTGTGACTTTACGATGTCTTGCCTGTTAGGGGGACATATTTCTCTCCAAGCAGGCAGAGGTTCAAGATCGATACTATGAGGAGGTTTGTCGAGCCATTCAAGAAGCCACTGGTGCAGACTGTGTCCTTGCTTTTCACCACAATGTGAGACATCAGCGGCCGCTGGAGTCCACGGACTTCGTGTGCAACACGTATGACTACCGGGTCTTTTGATGAAAACATATTGAAACCATTTGAAAACGATGTATGATAGAAGGAGGTGCACAATAAAGGTATACGGCCATGATCCAAGTGATATATTTTTGATTGTTGTTTGGCCAATCCTAGGTTCATGGTGACTACACCCCGGAAAGTGCTCGCGAGGTTTTTGAATGGCAGCTTCCAAGAGCCAGCAGAGACAAATCTGAAGTTCGAGCATTTCGGGATGGGCACTTTCTCCTGGTGAATGCGTGGCGAAATTTGAGCCCAGAACCTGTTGAGAACGATCATTTGGCTGTGTGCGATGCAAAAAGCATTTCAGAGGATCATTTGCTGATGATGGGTGCGAACAGCAGTTCGCCGCAGCCCACAGCGCTTCGCCGCAGTCCATGCCTCACCGCGGAGAACTTCACTGAACGAGTCTCAGGACCCATGGCACGCTTTGACTGCAGCTCTGAGCATCGGTGGTACTATTACCCAAAGCTCCGCGAGGCCTGTTTTTGGGTGTGTGTGTGTGTGTGGAGACCCGAATGAAGGCCCTGGGAAAGGAAGTCTGCGGGAATTGGTACAGTAGATGTTGGGTGACAGTGAGACAAACAGTTGTACGAATAGGCGTGGCCGGTGTGGCTTCCCAGAGATTCCCAGAGCATTTGACATGTTTGATGACCAAATGTTCCCATCATGATGGCCCATCATGTTAGGATGAGCTGCTGATCTTCAAATGCTACGACTCCACGCCCGACACTGTCTCCCGCTATGTCCTACACTCTGCGATGCGCGTTGGACTCGGCAGGAAGTCCCGAGAGTCCATTGAAGTGAGAGCCATTGCTTTCTTCCAAAAAGGAGCGACTTGCGAGCTGAGTGTTGAATAGAGGGTGGGAAGCGAGCATCCAGCACCTTGCAAATGCCTTCTTCTAAGATTCCAACTGTTTTGGCCTTCAATGGGCTTACTATTGCCTTCATGGGCCTTCATTGGGCGTCCAAAGTGTAAAGCTTGTCTTTGTGACTGATTGCAGGCTTTGGGCAAATGCTAGAGCTGACGGCAAGGGCTGTTTGTGAGCATAATGTGGGTAGAAGCCGTATATCTGAAGCACCAGGACACATGCAGGATAATGCGGATCAAACACAAGAGTCCTAGATAATTAAGCCATTCCGACGGATCAGATCACAAAGCCAAGGACGCAGATCATCACCCAATGCATCAATCCGAGTTGGAATCAAATCTTGGAGGCCTCGTCGACGGTCTTTAGGAACGTGCGTTTGGATGTCCCTTCCATTGTGCGAAGTGTAATCAGTCAGTATTCTATTGGAAGTTTGGAGTTTAAGTCGGCTGCGAGCTGTAATGGACAAACATGAATCGCAGGCCACATGAGCCCTCAACATGGAGGGAAGCTTCAGGAAGCTTCATGAAGTTTCACACTTAAAATAGACGAATGTAATATATATTGTAATATAATAGAAGTTTTTGCATGACTATTAATCTCCCACGTCTTCTCACACGTGAGGAAACCGTGAGATTACCTGATGACGTGACCTTGCGGCCCGACATCCTCATCACCCTATTGGACCCCATGCTGCGTCGACGTCGAAGAAAACTGATCCACGGATCGTCGGAGGGTTCTTCAGAGCTCGGATGGTTCAACGAGTCTTTTTGATGATGCGAGGGATAGAGAAGCGTTCGGACGTGTGAAGGGTGTTTCAGGCGGAACCTCTTCCTCCGCTGAAACCAGTTGAAACCTGGTTCGATTTGTCTCGATTTTGCTTTTTGAACCGCTCACGCCCGGATCACTCGACACAGTGACACGTCGTGACACGTTTTTGCGCGAGGACAGCGATGAGGGATCCTTCGAGCCGATGGTGCAGATGAGGCGAGGGTCGTTGAATCATTGGACCTTGCAAAATGGTATACCTGGATCTTCATAGCTATGCGGCATAGCTTAATGGTTTTGTGTCCAAAGGAGTTGCCTTTATGTGATCTATGCCTACTAGTCTAGAAATAGTTTCTACCCAAGCTGGAAATAGTTTCAGGGATTCGCCGAATAGTCTCAGGCAGGGGGGGGGCCAAACACACAAACAGGCCTAAGCACGTCACAAGCTATGCCTTCTCCGCTTTTTCAAGCAAACGCCAGCTATTTTGTTTTAAAGCACTTTTTGCATTGACATGGTTTCTATGCTAAGTCAAGGTTTTGAACCAGCGATGTTTCCCGACAAAACGGCGACTTTCCCCGACCTAGCGACGACTTTTGCCGACTGCTAATTAGGCAACCTCTGTAAAAGCATGGAAATTGCGCTTTTGAAATGAAACTCCAAGTGCAATCCCCTTGATTGTTGGATTTTGAGGAACTCACAACTGTTTGTGGTGTTCACCCCCTTGATTGATGCGTCCAGTGGCAGGTACAAAGCCTCAGAACCTGACGCCCTACCTGAGGAGTGGAAGAAATCCCCCAGGCAGCAGTGCACTGGGAGACTATATTGAGTTCAGAAGGAGGAAGACGAGGAAGCCACCTTTTGCGCCTCCCTTTTTGAGTCACTGCCACTGCTTCCAAGAGTGGCCATTGCACAAGGGTTGGCACAATTTGCAGGTGGTTTCAGTTGGAACCAGTGCCCGGCGGCGTGCCGACTCAAGGAAAGATGCCACTTGGTTCAGTATTCCATTACCATGGTGTGGCACCCTTCATAAGGCTGTATTGAAGTACGGAAGTACATTGACATTGTGAATCAAGATTTGCGCAATTTGAATAGCCCGTTTTGTGGGTGGAGGCCAGAAAGGGCCTGAAGCCTTTGACCTCCTTCCAGGGTATGGAGGGGTATCTCCAATGCCTTTGTGAGACCGAGGCTGGCTGCTTTTGAGCTGGTGTCTGGGGTGGATGCGGGTCCCGCAAGGCCAGAACAAAGTCAGAGAGAAGATGGCGAAGTTTAAACAAACATGCGGGAACATGCATGACGTGTTATATCACTATCACGCTTGGTCTATTGGAAGTCCTTGGAAGCTGCCATTATTCAGCCGAACGACGTAGAACGTCGTAGACATTCAGAGATTGCGCCCCGGTCAAAGCCATGCGGAACGACAGAACCCTGCACACGAAGAACCAATGTTGACATGACCTGAGAACATTCGGGTTGACATCGAATTGAATGCGTCCACTCGCGTCAGCAATGAGCCATGCACACTTTGGCCCTTTGGGGTTCCTTGTGAGCCCGGCACTTGATCACTTAGCAGGGCGTCTTGTTACTAGTAGCTTCTTGTAACTATATATATATATAGATAGCAGCGATGGCCTCCAACCTAATAGCGACGGCCTCCAACCTAGTAACCTAGTAGCTTCTTGTTGCTAGTAAGGATGACCTCCAGCATATCGATGGCCTCCAATCTAATAGCCATGGACTCCAGCCTAGTAGCTTCTTGCTACTAGTAGCGATGGCCTCCAACCTAGTAGCTTCTTGTTACTAGTAGCGATGG